TCGCTAGTATTTGGGGACGTACTGAGTATTCAGTACGATTACACGTCAGGTAGGGCAAAACATCTCTCCCATGATAACTTCCTGACGCAAACTCATATCCGAATAACACTTGCAGTACCCGCTGCTACTAGGGGATCGAATTCATCACTAGTCAACAAGCGCAAGCTCGGTGGTCTAGTGGTTAAGACATCAGGCTAGATACCTGGAGGTCGTGGGTTCGATTCCCAACCTAATCACTTGCGAATTTTTTTCGCTAGTATTTGGGGACGTACTGAGTATTCAGTACGATTACACGTCAGGTAGGGCAAAACATCTCTCCCATATATACATATATATATATACATATATATAGTACATATATAAACAAATGTAAATGATAGAAACAATGATTGAATAGAGAAACAAATGTTTTATTACATGGTTTTTTTTATCCATTTTCCAATTTCAAAATGACAAAAATAGTATCCTCTTGCTACAAACGACTACGGCAGGCTTCTTCGGAGCAGGTACTGTATACTTGTGGCTGGGATTGTATGCATATGTACCTTAATAATCAGTCCATAACATGCAACTGAAGGTTTTTTGGAACTACAGGTCTCCGGTTAAAGACCAATTTTAGGACCAGTGTTTCCATGGTTTTTAGCAGCTTTGTTAATTTGGGACCACAGAAAAGTGGTCTTTTATTGGAGCGGTCTTTAAAGATTAGAGGGAGACCTGTAATTTGTTTATTTTAAACTCTTTGCGAAAGACTTATCTGAGCATTTTAACAATATACTACCACTAAAACCTTGTTAAAGTGATAAATGCAATTGAAAATATAATTTAGTTTTATTAAATAGTAATGACTATGATTGTTTAATGTAATTGTCTCTTCATGTTTATTTTATAGTTTGAATAACTAAGAAAATCATGATATTTAAGGTCGGACTGGGTAACAAAAGAACTAGTTTTAATAGAAAAAAAAAATTTAACGTTAGATGTTTGAAGCACTGCTTTCGTGACAACGACGGCTGCGTTTTAGATCATGTTGTGTGTCATGATTGCATATGGCACATACGTCATAACCTCTTTTTTTACGCAACTCTTTAAGTTGTTGGCGAAGTCGAGCGAGTCGAATGCTACTCGTATTCTCCGGGTAAGAAATTGCTTTTACCATACGACTACGATTCCGATAGATTGGGTAAGGCATGCTGTGTCTATGCCTACTAGCTCTATTTTCCTGATTGTCCAATCCGATTCGGACTCTTGTGAGTTCTTCTATATGCCCTGGGCAACGTCTTCCAAGACAATCAGATGTCACAATCAATTGCTGATGCGACTGTTTCTCAGCATCATCTTCATCTTCTGATAAAGCTCTTTCAAAACGAACGAAGCTTTCTCTATCAGTAATTGCAATTGCCTGCATTTCAACTTTGCAAATGGAGGACCTCCTAATTGTACATTCGATTTCACTGCTAGTAGGTGCAAATGGATGATAATGGGAAGTCACAGTATAACGTTTGCCAACGTCATATGTCGGTAGAGTTGGTGCATCACATTCAATTTGGACTGGTATTCGGTCCACATCACATTGTCTATGTGCAGCATGTTCGTAAACATTGCATTGCGTGATACTGTTTTTATGTACATGGACACCACTTTTATTACGCATGGGATGCATGTGCACATCCCATTCATTACCAGGAGCTGGATGCGTGTGCACATAGCACTCATTACGTACTGGATGTACGCGCATTTCACTTCTTTTCTTAGGCCTATGTGCCGGAACGCTCTCATTACATTCACTACGCACTTGAGTGCTGTGCTCCTCAACCAGCTGTAAGATTCTGTGTGGTGGGTTTTTAGCTGACGTTCTGCTCCTTGAAGTTGTTAAAAATATCACGGAAGATTTACGTGGCTGTATTGTAAAACAACACCGTCGTCGTACAAATCTGCGAAACGTTGTCCAAATTTTCCGATTGAGAAAGGAATAGATGTACGGGTTAATGACGGAACTCAGATACGATGTAAACGTGACGATAGTAATGGTGACAGAAAGCGTTGGATCAATATATGGTATAGTGTATACATACAAACTGACGGTATAATAAGGGGACCAAGAGATCATAAAAACGGCAGCGGCAAACCACATCCTTTTCGCTGGAAATCTCGTTGTCGGCAGGTGGCTGTGTTCTTGGTTGTTTGGAGGTCTTATGTGACGTCTCGCTACTTGAAATATAGAATAATTGCAATAGCACATCGTAATTGCAGGGATAATGAATGCTGCACAGACTATCAGGCAGATAAACAATAAACCTGCAGTGTAAGTCCAGTCAGGAAGGCAATGGTAGGCAGCTGGGATGAATCTGTACTGTCCAACTCCGAGGAATGGCAAAAGGCTACAAAAACCTGTAAAAACAGTAAAATCCAATCCACTATCTCAATTTTAACAAAATATATCAGAAGACAAATAACAACTATAACCTTTGAGCTCAAGTTTGAGAGTTCAAGTTGCCCACAATCAGAACAAAGCGGTCCCGTCACTTCATTTTAAATCCTGGTATTTGCAAAGTGGTGTCACCCTCCCCGAGTCCCCTACTCCCACCTCAAAAAAAAAAAACAAAAAACCTATAGGTTTTATTCAGTTTTGTACTCGGTATAAATTGCTCATTTGTATGTCCCCTTATGCCCTTTTTGATTGTTTTTGTTTTTCAAGTTTTGTACATTTCCCTTTTGTATTTTAATGTTGTAATGTGTCCTGCTCCCTAATTTTGAATACTTTAACTGGAGTATTTTAAATATTCTAAAAACATTTAATATTCACACTAAATTCTATACATTTCAAACTTTCCTTAAATTTGCAATAAAGTTGTTTTGAATCCTGACATCTATAGCAAATGTTTACGGATCGAAATACAAGACCTTGTCCCTCTGGCACAATTTTGCAGAATGCGAGAAACGTAAATTGTGGCCACATCCTGCAAATTTGTCTTAATGAATCTATTTTGTAAATTTATATTATTATATTTATTAATATACGATACAGTACAATTTCGTTTATTGTCATTTACACAACATGGTACATACTAAATAAATGATTGTTAGGCCTACTTTAAACAAGGAATTTTCATTTAGGGACACGTGAAGAAATATAAATAGATGTATCTGCGTATGGGTGGGTGTGGCCTGGGCCAGAGAAGACCACTAACTACCTGAAGAACACAGACACCGGTAACCCGCTAATTCGCGATTATGTTATACTAATAATATAACACATATGCCTATCTATATAGCGCCTATTAAAGCAATGTAATCTTCTGTAGATTTATATTATGCAGCGTATGTGTTTCAATTTTTATCTAATTTTAATGTATTTTTGTGATGTTTTGTACTGTATATAGGCCTACTCTTTGTAATCGTGCCACTTCAGTATTTAACTGCCGGCCATGGATGCATGCTTGTTTATACCGAAATAATAAATAGATAAAAAAACAAACGAACGTAACGAATAAATAAAGTAAGAAAGTAAGAAGTTAGTGGCGAATCCAGGAGGCGGCAAAAAGGCGCACCCCAACCAGATTTGACTCCGGGGCCTTCAGCAGTCATGCTGACGCCTTAACCAAATGGTAGGCCTATTTAGAATGGGCCAAAATACTCTATTACCTGATATGATCCAAATTGATAAAACCATGGTGGCTGCCGTTCGCATTGTTATTCGTCGGTTGTACTCCAATGGCCGAAGAATAGCTAAATATCTTAAAATAAAAATATAAAAACACCTTAGTAGGCCTACACACCATATTCGATCTTATATTTTTGAGAATGGTGCTGTAACAGCAAAATATGTTTGTTCGAAATTGTGATTTACTGGTTGTACTGCACTGGTACTAGTACTAGTTTTAACAGACACCCCATATTCGTTGCCTAGATTATTTCATTCGCTGTTAAATATTTTCTATAGAAGTGTTTGTGGTAAAGAAATCTATAGACCTAGGCCTATATGTCTCAATTGAGAAATGGACACCAAGCCTTTAACACATACAGAAAAAAATTTAATGTTCAAAATAAAAATATGTTTTAGACAGAAGTGTTGAGTGATGCAGATTCGTCGACATTCCATGATTAGCGCAGTGCTTTTTAGATTGTCGGGGGTTTTTCTATATGAATTTAGAAATAATTAGGCCTACTCAATGTACTCTGTTATCGGCCCAGCCTACCTGTCTATGCTGAGTGAGGCTACATTGAGAGCAGATGCAATGTTGAGCAGCACTGAGATGTATGCAAATATGTTGCATCCGTTCGAGTTTAGTTGCAACTTGCCCGTAACCAGCGTGGAGAAGAAAATCGGCATGTCCAATAAATTGGTTAGCAGGTCACTAATGGCAAGATTGAGTTGTAACATTCCTTACAGATTAAAAGAAATAATAATAATAATAATAATAATAATAATAATAATAATAATAATAATAATAATAATAATAATAATAATAATAATTAATAATTAAAGATCCTCGTTTTACACTTTTGACGATCTACAAAGAACACAGTGATTAACAACCTTGAAGATGAGAAGGTAGAAAAGCAAAATAATGTTAAACACTATTTTTTTACGAATTAAATGATTATCGCCTGAGTGATTTATTGACGTAGGTCTCAATTAACGCCTTATTTTTGCTATTGTTGTATTATTAAGAATGCCAGATACTCAGATATGTTTTATGGTAATTAGCCGTCCCTTTTATATCTTGCATGTAATTGTAAGAAGCCATATTTACTGTTAGTCCTCTAGAATTTGTTGAAATAGAAGGATGAGATTCCCTGTTTTTTGTGTTTTGTTTTTTTAATGATCACACACAATACACCAATGTATCGTGACTGATGCCTACGCAACACTGAGATTAATAATATTTAAAACGTCTTTTAAAAAACGGTATTTTTAATGTGTTTACCTTGTCGTATTTTATAACAGCGTTATTAATAGTTCCATTCATGAAGATCAGAGCGCTCAAAACGTGGACTACAGAGCTCATACATACTTTCTTCTCCCTTGGCCGGTAAACCGGCTTCTCTGAGCTGGCCGGTAAACCGGCTTCTCTGAGCTGGCCGGTAAACCGGCTTCTCTGAGCTGGCCGGTAAACCGGCTTCTCTGAGCTGGCCGGTAAACCGGTACCAGCTACTCTCGTCTTTCACAGCAGGGCTGAACTAATCAGTACACCGAGGTAATCCCCTACTTAGCTCGAGATGTACTGCAGTTCTTTGTAGTGCACATGAGCCAATTGTGTACACTGGGCCTACTGTTTACAGTCTTTATCCGTAAAATACTTCCACCTCCAGAACCCGGCTAGCGTGCCGTTCGAACCAGCGCCGATGGATGAGTAGGTTGCGGCACCC